GTCGTGCAGGATTCGAACTCGTGATCTATTTACTGACAGTTACACGTGTGTACCATTTAGCCACATCGGCTTGGGTAATTCCCTCTTTTTTTTTTTTTGGTCCCTCGTTCAGCAGCCTAATCAATGCTGTCTGCCCTGCACTATTCAAAAAGAATCAAATGTTGTTTTCTTCTCCCCCCCCACCTCCTCCCCCCTCTTGATAATGGAGAGCCGACAGTCAATCCCCTCCCCTCTACCACTCCCCCCTCCTGGGGACCTGCACGACTCAAAGAAGTATGAACGGGACTGCTTTTTGTTTCCGTTGATTTTTTTTTATTTTTTTATTTTTTTAAGAAGCAAGCATCCATTATATTGCAAAAACTGAAAAGTTATGCAGGTTGAGGAGACTTTCTTTTTTTCTTTTTTTTGTCTGCTGTAAATCTCTGGAATCAGGTTTTGGCCGGGGGCGGGAAGTACTTTAGGCAGAATCCGGTCTCCAGCACGTTTTTTTTTTTTTTAATGTCTCCTGCACTTTTACAAACTGCAGACATAAGAAATGAGTTCGCCTCTTGCTTCCATCTCAGGGCATACGCACACGCGCACTTTGCTAAAGGTATCTGACTGCAATTACGGCCAAACCTGAATGAATCTGACTGCAATCACGTGCAGAGCTTGGTATTAAAAAGTCCCCATACGAGTATGCTCTCAGAGAGAGAGAGGGGTCCATAGATGACGGGGTCGCGCAAAAGAATAGCAGGGAAAGAGCGCGGTAAGGAAAGAAGAAGTGATGAAGGAGACTGGCAAGGGGGGGTTACAATACTGATTGACGCGTGTGTTCAACTGATGTCAATGGTAAGTAGAGAATCAAGCAATCAATTATCGATTAATCAATCAATTAATTCTCAATCAATCAATCAATTATCAATCAATCAAACAATCAAATTATCAATCAAACAATCAAATTATCAATCAATCAATCGAATCAATCAATCAAATTATAAATCAATTAATCAATCAATCTTCAATCAAACAATCGATCAACTGATAAATCAACCAATCAAACCAATCATTCAATCATCCGATTGATCATTTGATCAATCAATCAATCAATCAATCAGACAGGAAAGCAAGCGAAAGTGAGACTTCTTGTAGGCAACCAATCAATCAATCAACCAATCAATCAATCAATCAATCAACCAATCAATCAATCAATCAATCAATCAGTCAATCAATCAGTCAATCAATCAATCAATCAATCAATCAATCAGTCAATCAATCAATCAACATCAATCAATCAATCAATCAACACAATCAATCAATCAATCAACCACTCAACACAATCAATTTAACCAAACAATTTAACCAATCAATCAATAAAATCAATCAATCAGACAAGAAAGCAAGCGATTCTCCTGCATTGATTCTCCTTTATCCTCTCTTCCCGTCCAGATACATACCAGAAAAGAGAAAGGAGAACCAATGACGAATGGGCAACCGCGAGCTGCAGGAGGAAAGAGGGATGGCTATGGCGCGGCGGCGACCCCCACGGGGAAGAAGAAGAAGAAGCCACCAATAGCAAATGGATGGAGATTGAATGATAGCTTAAGTGAAATCGAGTGAAATCGATCGCTCGATTGCATTCGGGCTTTTACAAGATTCTCTTCCTTTCTCTTGTTTTTTCTTTTTTTTTTTGTTTTCGTTTCCCCCCCCCTTTTTGTACCTCCTTTCATCAGGCAGAGTTCTTAGACAACACACACAGGGAAGAAATTTGGTTAAAACTTAAAAGTTAATTAAAACTTAAAAAGTTATTTAAAACTTTAAAGTTAAAAACTCCCTCAGTATTAAAAATCATTTTCCGGTTTTTCGTATTTGCTACACATGTAGCGGCGGGGATCTGATACTTAAACCTCAACTTGAGGCAGTGCAGATGTTTGGAGACCAAGCCCCTCGTGCGTTTTCCTTCCTTTTTTTTTCCCTGCTACTTGTTCTGTATTTTTTCTTGTTTTTTTCTTGTTTTAAAGTCGAATTCTTGGAACGTTTCAAAGCTCTAGGGTTTTAAGATACTCTCCTTCCCCATTCCCTTCTCATCGGAGAGAGAAAAAAAAAAGAAAAAAAAAGAGAGAGTATCTCTAGGGTTTTAATCCTCTATTCTATTCACATCACACAGAGAGAGAGAGAGAGAGAGAGAATGGAGAGAGAGAGAGAGAGTGGACAAAGAGAGAGAGAGAGAGAGTGGACAAAGAGAGAGAGAGAGAGACTGGACACAGAGAGAGAGAGAGAGAGTGGACAAAGAGAGAGAGAGAGAGTGGACAAAGAGAGAGAGAGAGAGNAGAGAGAGAGAGAGAGTGGACAAAGAGAGAGAGAGAGAGAGTGGACAAGAGAGAGAGTGAGAGTGGACACAGAGAGAGAGAGAGAGAGAGAGAGAGAGAGAGAGAGAGAGAGAGAGAGAGAGAGAGAGAGAGAGAGAGAGAGAGAGGTGATCGGATGAAGTGAGTAAGAGCAGATCATTCCATTCACACCAGGACTTCTTCGAGGGAATCTGGTATAGGTAATTGGCGTCAGATACACTCAGTACAATCCAAATGCACAGAGGGAAGGAGGGGGGAGAAACGGGAACGCAGGGGATAGAGGCGCAACCAAGCTGGTGCGGGGAGTTCCCCACAAAATGGACCGGTCCTTCCGAGGGGCATCCGCCAAATTGGAACACGACACATAGACGCTTGATTAGCACGGCCCCTGCGCAAGGATGATGACACGCGTTGATCGAGAAATGGTCCACATTTCAAGAAACAAAACAAACCCTAAAAGAACACAAAGGACGGGTAGCTTACATTTAACTCCATGTTGTCCAGCTTTACGTGACAGGTTCGTTGCAGTGGCTGACGAGCTGATGAAGACTCTTCCCTTGGTCTGAACTGCACACGCCGTCCTAATTAGCTTCAGCGACAGCATCCTCGCTGCGACGTGGCTGTGTCTCACAGCTGGCATGGCGGACAACGTGTGGATTGCTTTCTAATCACGTGGGATTGCGTCTAAAATCACGTGGACTGCTGCTGGCACAGAGATTGCTCCTTCCACGGTACGTGCTTCTGCCAAACGTATGCCACGTGGGATTGCGTCTAATCACGTGGACTGCTGCTGCCACAAAGGAGATTGCTCCTTCCACGTTACGTGCTTCAGCCAACGTATGCCACGTGGATTGCTTCTGCCACGTGGATTGCTTCTAATTACGTGGATTGCTTCTAATCACGTGGACTGCTCTCTGCCACAGAGGAGATTGCTCCTTCCACGTTACGTGCTTCTGCCAAACATATGCCACGTGGATTGTTTCTGCCACGTGGATTGCATCTAATCACGTGGACTGCTCCTGCCACAGAGATTGTTCCTTCCACAGTTACGTGCTTCTGCGAACGTATGCCACGTGCATTGCTTTTGCGAACGTATGCCACGTGGATTGCTTCTCATCACGTGGACTGCTCCTGCCACAAAGAAGATTGCTTCTGCCACATGGATTGCTCCTTCGATCGTCACGTGCTTCTGTCACGTGGAGCGGTTCTGTCACGTTGGTTGCTTCTGCCACGTGGATTGCATCTGCCTCGTCGATTCCGGCACGTGGCTTGCTTTTGCACGGTTGATTGACTTGGTCTCGACAACCCAATCCCGGCCGGGGACCCCGACGGTTTTCAATGTCTGTCCTGGCTTTTCTCAGACAAACCCAGCCCAGACCGGAGTCCTCCTACGAGAACAAGTTCCGTGGCCGCTCCACGTGCCTCGCTGTGGTGAAGTACAGCAATAAAAAATTACGATCACAAAGAACAAGGAAAGTTTTTCCTCCCATCCTTCTCTTCATCCTTTTTTTTCTTACTCCATCTCTTTCAGCTCTTGTCCTGCTCGCCTAGACGCGGGGCATCCTAACACTAGGGTGGTAGTACCGTGGCACTTTTGTGACTGAATTTTAGACAGAATTGCGGTCAGATCCGTCCCAGACGGGCCGTCACTGCAGTCAGACACACCCAGAATAGCCCTACCATAGTGCGAGTGTGTGCAATCAATGGACACAAACCGGGGACATCGACCAGCCAGCACCTCTCCCTAACCCAAGGGTCCAATTGCACCATAGCCGCCGACCGCGAGAGCGAAGCGGTACCGGTCCCTCATCACGCCGTTCTTACCGATCCCTCATCGCCCGGAAGCACAACTGTACCGGAGACCGGTCCCTCATCGGCCGCGATGAGCCAAGCTGTACCGGACCGGTCCCTCGTCGCCCACGATGGGCAAAGCTGTGCAGAACCGGTCGTCCCTCATCGTGCGGGAGAGCAAAGCTGCACCGGTCCTGCAGTGGGACTTGGCGTGAGATGCCAGTGAGGGAACAAACGCTACTGTAGCCTGCCGGTAGCGCCTCCCCTTTGCTCCCCACCCACCGTGCACTACGTAGGCCTGTCTAACGGAAAGGCCCCACTTGTTGTGCTATGTGGATGCTAAGAAGTCCTGAACCGCGCTGTAATATTGGGAAGGTTCGTGGTTTCCTAGCATGAACATATCACGAGCAGGGCATGGCTCTGACAGCCATGGCTAATAAGGTGCTATGGGGGTTGGGACCCACATGCTGGGCCCGTGGGGGTCCTGGGTCCCTTGTTCCCATTTCCTCACTGTGTTCTAGCCGTTCTGGATCCAGCAAATTTTTATTTCTTTTTTTTCCAGCAAATTTTGGCCCTGCAAATTTCTGGACGAGCCATGCCAAAACAAAATTGTCTTTTTTGTTTTTGAGAAAACTATGGCGAAGTCAAGATTTGAGTTTGGAAAAGGCACTTCAGGCAAAAGGCCTGAAAAAGACTGAAAATGTCCAATGTATACAAGCTAGGTTTCGGGTCCTGCACGGTAGGGTCACGTGGGACTGTGTTATGTTCAGGGGAATGCTTGAAGTGCATTTTCAAACTGTTTTTGTGACTGCGCCGTAATTAATTACCCTTTTTTTTTTGTGTGTGTGTAGAGGTGGGAAGCTAGACATCCCACAGTTACTCTCAGGGCATACTCACACTGGGCACACAAAGTTGTGGAATCGCAAAATCAGCCGCCTGATCGAGCCCTTCTCAAAGGAGGAAGGGCTCGATCTGGGCGCTCATTTTGTGATTCTGCTATTCTGAGGTCCTAGTGTGCGTATACCCTCAGCAGTAGACCATTGTATACCCTCAGTAGTAGACCATTGGGTTATCCGGACGATCTATAGAGGTAAGAAAGGTTCAATTGCAGGTAGATCCCACACATTTGTCACACAACGCAGGCATTACAAACAACGCATAGTGACAGCAAAGATTGAGTCAAAGCGCAAAATCATAAGATTAGAATTAACTCGGTAACATTCCTGAAGAGCAGCTCCCCGACCAGTTTCGACCACCGGCAGGCGAACGACCAAAGGGGTCCCTCCCTACGACGGCTCCCTCCCTACCACCTCTCAATGTTTCCTGGGGCACCCCCACTATCCTACCTCGCACGAGGACATCACTCTACTTGGAGCAATCTTGACCAGACAGCGATCATGGGCACCACCGCTAGTCGGGAAACCCCTTCCAGCCCTGGTAGCACTATCGCACAGACATTGTCGCACGGATACCTCGGGAGCTAGGCCTGGATCTATTATTGTACCAAGTTGTCTTCACGAAGAAAGAAACAAAAGAAGGGGCGCTGGGGTGGTGAGGGATCATGCCACAGGGCCCATACCACACCTGTCCTGCTTGCCAGAACTTGCTGTTGGCATAGGTGGAGTAGCGGCCCTAGCTATTCCTGGTCTAGGCTAAGGTGGCGGAGCAATACCGGGAGCGCTCCGCCGCCCGGCGTTTGGACACGACGGCGGGCCTCGCGGAGAGAGCGAGAACGAGGAGCGGCGGGAGCGCTGCAACGGCAAGATTGACGCGAGGAGGAGGCGGGCGGACGCGACGGCGGGTCTTGCGGAAAGAGCAGGAACGAGGAGCGGCGGGTGCGCTGCGATGACAAGATTGATGTGAGGAGGTGATGGGAGAGGGTGTGTCTGGACGTCGTTGGGCAGTGCATCTCACATCAAGGTCTTAGTGGAGAGGAAGAATCCGGTGGGTGGGAGAATAGGGGAGGTAAGGGTTTCATGGGCTAGAGGGAGAGGGATACTAGGAAGAAGGGGGAGGATGGCATTCGCAACGTGGACTCCCCCTCGTCTCTTCGGGCTACCTGCGAGGGGCGGCTGGCGGGCTTAGCGGTTTAATCTCGCGACGTGGTTTGGTATGCTGCGACGGCAATCCTAGCTGCGGTCTTATTATCATCATCGTTCGGTCTATTTGGTTGGTTGAATGGTTGTCAATCACAGGCGGTCGAGTTGCTGAGAAGTCGATGAAGCGAGGAGGTGAGGTTTGGAGAGAGGGGGGGTGTATTTAGGGTTGTCAAGGGTAAGTTGTTTTTCCTCTTCAGTTTGATGGATTCTTAACGTGGAGACTCTTAGATAGTGTTTGTTTGTCTCGATATCTGTCTGGTTTGCTACGCACCTACAACTAATATTGCTGAACTTGTAGTTCTTATTTCTTCTTCTGGATATGGAATTTTTGATTTTGTATTGCTTGTATGATCATTCTAAGTCGATTCATCCAATGATGATAATCCAATATTGGTGCCATTGGTTCATCTTTTTACGTTGTAATCCTTGTTATTCAAATGATAATTTTTTCTGTTTAGCATCTTCTTGATCCACAGTCTGAGAGTTTTTCTGATTAGCATCTTCCTTATCTACGGTCTGAGCGTTTTTCTGAATTCTATGTTCGGGAAATCAGTGTCGAAAGTCTGGATGGACATCAGAATTGTTTCTCTATTGCATTTTCTTCCCTATTTGGATTTTTCAAGACATCCAATCTATATTTGATCTGAGCGATTTTCTTCTTCCCAATCTTATTTGTAGCTCGATGGATTTTCTATATTCGACCTGAGCGGTTTTCTTTTTCAAATCCTATTTGTAGCTCGAGGGATTTTCTGATTTCAGTGGTAATTATTTTTTTCTCAGTCAGTCCTGGCGCTTGTTTCAAGTTTTTGTCAACACCTTTTAATCTGTTTAGGGGGTATGAAAATTTGAGGCTCAACGTAATCATTGTTGGGTTTTGGGCTCATCAGTATTGATCGGTTTTTTTCCTCAGGTTCAGAGTTTCTCCTTGCGAGGGCTGCACAAGGTGGGAGATGTCGTCTTTTTAAAATATGTTAGTAAGAAGTGCACTCTATACATTGGTGTGGAGTTTGGTTGAAATGACCTTATGGTTTTCTTATAAATTGACCTGAAAAATGGGGGGTCGGTTAACCTTCTGTCCTCAAGGCACAATGACCAAAACTGAAATCAGGGTTTGGGGGTCAAATTTTTGGTTTTTTGGTTTTTTGTTTTTTTGTTTTTTTGTCTGTTTTTGTTTTGGTTTAAGGTTGCTGTCTGGCAAATTTGGTATTATTTGGAATATTAGAATTTGTGTTGTTGGGAGGCCTGAAAATCCTGAAATTTGGATGACGTGTTTCATGCCAAAATTGCATGAAAATGCACTTTTGGGTTGCTGTTTTATATGTTTTTAATTTTTAATTTTTTTTTTTTTTTTTTTTTTTTTAAATATGTTAGTAAAAAGTGCACTCTATACATTGGTGTGGAGTTTGGTTGAAATGGCCTTATGGTTTTCTTATAAATTGACCTGAAAAATGGGGGGTCGGTTAACCTTCTCTCACGTTTTGAGGGAGGAGTAATCTCTGTTTTTTATTCAGAGTCCTTTATGAACAAGTTGAGCCTCGAATGGACACCGAAGCCACCACAGGACGAGGGGGATTTTCCCTCCCTTCCTCTCGTCTCGTGGAGGCAGAAGGATTTCCTCTCTTTCTTGGGCTGAGTCAAAATTCATTGAAGGAGGGTAGGGGGGTTAGAACTGTATGATGAATTTTAGTCAAGAGGCCTCTAATAGAGGAATGGTCGTTAGGTAAGTAGGTCAGAAGAACGAAGCTGGAACGACATAGGCCGGTGCTAGAGCTGTGGCTCTGTGACCCGGGGGGGAGCTTGAGGCTTGTGGAGTTATGCCGTGAGTGGAAGGCATAACCAGATCGTTCGACGTAGCGATGCGCCATGGTACTAACCCTGTAACCTTAGGGGCTTGCCGCTAGGGGAGGTGTCGAGGGAGGAAGGCACTTCCTGTCCATCAGAGCTAGGTTGGTTGATACTGGGGAAGGTTGCGGTGCCCTGTTACCCTAGCATAAAAGGGGGTATGAGACCAAGTGAGTTCTGGTACGAGGAATGAAAGCCTGGACGGACTTTCCGTCTGTTGAGGGGGGATTTTATGATAGTAGGTTGTTTTAGGTTTTGACCCCCCGCTCATATTCCAAGCTTTCTAGATATTCTCAAAAATAAAAAGACTTAGTCACTTCTATGGTGAGGTGAGGTGGAGAAGGAGATGGTGGGATATCATGCGTCCTGCTAGTGAGGGGGCTAATTGGTAGGATGAAAATAGGGTACAGCCGCAGTCGAGATGGTGACTCTGTTGTAGTAAGTCTTGCGGAGTGGGGATAGGGGATCGACTGGGTGTCTGAGTATTTTCTTGTAATTGTGTATTTCCTTTTTCCTGAAGAGGTGAATGAGATAAGTAGATGGCTGGATAACAAGCGTCCTTCTAGTAAAGGAGCTACGGGAATAGGGCACAGCAGTGGCGGAGATGGTGGCTCTGCTGCAGTAAGTCTTGCCGGAGGGTGGTGAAGAGGATTGAGGGGGGGGCTTGAGTCTTTTTCTGAATTTTTCCGAAGTCTGATGTAGTAACTTTCCAAGTATTTCAATTTCCAAATTTTCTTAGTCAAGTCGGATGATGGCCTCGGTATCTCAATTTCTCAAATTTCTATGTAAATTTTCATATAGGACGCTGGGTCCAGTTCCCAGGACGTGTTGCTCCCCGCGAATAGATTGGAGTTTTGTCCCCCCCCCAAAAAAAAAGATGACATGTGTCAGGAAGCTTATGTGTCAGGAATCCCTTTCGCTTGTGGATGGATGGCGCGTGTGGCGCATGTGGGGTTAAGCGAACAGCGAGATCTGGGCGCCAGCAATATACCTTTTGTGAACTTGTGGAACTGATCGGGGCGTTGTCCCTTGGTCCTGGATACAGAAG